GCCGAATCGTGGATATCTGGTAACCTTAAATCTGCTTCTTTTTCTTCTTTGTGTCCGTTTGCCTCCATTATCGATTGTATAGCATCTTCGAATGCAACTCTCTTAACAATGGGCCTGTCGCTTGAGGATATGTTTGGTAAGGCGTCCGCTTTGCTTGTAGTTTGAAATCCTTCCCGCATCTCGACCGCATCAAAACCATCCTTTGTATCATCATATTAGAATTGCATGGCATTAAAGTTAGAAGCTTGATCGCTTTCTTTAGTTCTCGTTCCTGACTATGCATCATATTTACCTGGAAAGATTATAAAACACTTTTTTTCCCGATGACACACTTGGATAGACTTTAAAGTAAACACAAATATATAATTGGGTTTCCCTAATGAATAGAAAAAAAACCTGTAGATTTTGCACCCAAGCACCTGTATTTTTTTAGTATATTAAAACTCTTCACTCTTTGAGCAACTAAATGGTAACCATGTGAATATGCTTATGTTTATCATTTCGTATGGTTGACACCAGCACATTACCATAACGACCAATCCAAACACTGAAACAAGTAAAACAAGGTCGGTGCCGACAAGTTTCGTTATCAAGACTCATACCATCGAGTTTACTTTAGTAAAATTCTTTACATATATCCTGTTACTAGCTGATAGTTCCTCGTAGAAAACCTCAGTTAAAAGTAATTCTACCCCTTCAGGAATCTTTTCCCAATACATGCAGCTCGTGGATGAAGCACAAAACTTTCCGAGACGATAACAAAATACTTACCATCGAGTTCACTTGAGTAAAATTCTTCTTTTCATATATCGTGTTCCTTGCTGATTCTTCCGAGTAAAAGGTCCAGTTAAAAGTACTTTAAAGCCTTAAGCACTCTTTGCCTTTACACATGTCGCTTTTTGGATACAGTCGCGCTAGAAATGGTGACTTGTAGATACTTTGCGAGACGTAAACAAAATACCCAGCTGCCAAACTTGGCGGCAATAATATTAAAGAGCTTCTTTCATTTAAACCAAGTTGAAAGTGATAACTAACACTTAGTACCACCCAACTAGTGGACTAATGCAAATCCTGCATTTTAAT